TTACTGAGGGGTCCCCCCGACAGACTCCCAGAGAGAGAAGGGCTCCTGTTCTCAGGGGCCATTCCCAGCAGCTAAGGAGGGCCCGTCTCCCAGGCAGCTGGGAAGCAGGAAAGGGCGGGGCCTCTGCCATCAGGAGGAAGCCTGGGGGTTCATGCTGAGGCTTCAAACTATTAGGGGAGCCTGATAGGTGTGGCTCCATTGGAGCATCGTCCTGTCCACTGAAAGGTGGAGGGTTCAATTCCCGGTCAGAGCACTCACCCAGGTTGGGGGTTCAATCGCCAGTTGGTTGCACATGGGAAGCAACCAACTGATGTTTCTCTCTCACATCAATTCTCTCTCTCTCTCTCTCTCTCAAAATAATAAGTTGAAGAAAAAACTATTAGGGGAGAACAGGAGGAGGACCTCGCCCTGTGTGGACAGGCCTCCCAGGGGGCCGCAGGAGCAGACAGAGAGGGACAGACAGAGAGAACCTGCTGGTGTCCCCCAGGGCCTACGACAGTGATGGCAAACCTATGACACGCGTGTCAGAGGTGACACGCGAACTCATTTTTTGGGTTGTTTTATCTTTGTTAAATGGCATTTAAATATATAAAATAAATATCAAAAATATAAGTCTTTGTTTTACTACGGTTGCAAATATCAAAAAATTTCCATATGAGACACGGCAGCAGAGTAAAGTTAGGGTTTTTCAAAATGCTGACTCGCCCAGCTCAAAAGGTTCACCATCACTGGCCCAGGACAACCATGACTGGCTGCAGGGTGCCCTCAAGCAAAGGAGTGGAGAGAAAGCAGGTGAACCCAGGCTTCTCGTGGGACCAGAAGAGAGCAGACAGAGCCAGGGACCGGTGGGGGTTAGGAGCTGAGCTACATGCAGCAGAGACCCCAGAGAAAGCATGACAGCTGCCGGGGGGTGAGGGGGCAGTAGACGCACCCACCCGACCCTAGGCACTGCACATGGGTCTGAGTGGGCCCAGGCTGCAAGGGGGTGTGGCCTGGGGTTTCTGCAGGTACAGGCCTGGAGCAGAGCCCACCTGCGGCCCTGGGAGGGAAGCGACAGAACCAGCAGCAGGGCCTTCTCTCTGCCTCCAGAGTGTGTTCCGTTAGTCAAGTTCTCGACTCACTGTTTACTGCTCCGCACACACGAGGGTTTATTAAAAGCCCGGCTCAGATAAAAATACCGGAGACAGGGATGTGCCGGCCGAGGGGGCTGTGGAGACGGGCGCCCCGACTTTGAGGGAGCTGGCGCCGCTCCTCCCAAGGGAATCCCTACCCAGCCGCAGGGAGACGGCGGCCACCTGCAGCTGTGCCAGCCTCGAGGCCCATGCTGAGTGGATGGATGCGCAAGACCAGGCCGCCCCCCGTGGGTGCCAAAGGGACACGGGCAGGGGTAAGGTGCAGCCACACACACTGCACGCGGGCCCTCCTCTGCCCTCCGGGAGCTTCCAATCTGTGGGGAGAGTGTATGACATGGGACATAATGCACTCAACGGGCCACCAGCCTCTGCAGGAGCTTTGGGGGTCGTACAGGGGCCAGGGCCCTGGCCGGTGTTTCTGGAGGTGCTCCTGGAGGAGGCGGCACTCAGCATGGACAGACCTGGCGGTGGGCCCAGGGAGGGTGTTTCAAGTGCAGCCCCGGGTGAGTCAGCGTTCGGAGGTAAGAGAGGGTGGGCCCTGGGGGGTCCTGCTCACGGACAGGTCTTGGAGGCCAGGATGAGGACGGTGGCCTTCACGCATAGGCATGGGGCAGTGAGATAGTATTCAAGGAGGCACCCCATGCACAAAGCCCTCAGAGCCTTCTCAGGCATGGGCCCCGCCTCTTCCAGGCCTCCCAGAGGGTCCCAGAATCAATAAATCCATGGGGGAGGGGGACACGGAGCCCCAATCCGCCAGCCCCAGTGTCTTCCTCAGAGGGAGTGAGGAGGAGGAGGGCTTTCCTGACTTTATTTATGGCCGGGGGGGGGGGGCACTAGATGACTGACTCCTGCCAGAAACTGAGCTGTGATTGTTCTGAGGCAGCGTAGGGCCGCCAATGATTGGCACTGTGCCACACACAGTTCTGGTGGCCAGGCCTCAGTTTACCCTTGTGATGAGAGGTAAGCCTTCCTATTGAATGTTCCAAGGTGCCATCCACCCATCCTTCCACCCACTACCACCCACTCATTCATCCATCCATCCATCCATCCATCCATCATCTATCATGCATTCACTCAACAAACACTCCGGGGCCTTTACTACAGGGACCAGGGCATAGAAGAGAACAAGACATTTCACTGTGGCCTCCAGAACCTTCCCCTGACCTCCCATCACATTAAGTGACTCATTGGCCAATGCTGGGTTCCGGGGAGTAAATACAACAAATGTGCGACCACTTTGTAAGTTAAAAACACAGCACGTGTCCCTCCTCCTCGAGGGGCAGTTGGTGAAGGCCTCCTAGGTCCCAGGCCCCAGGTGGCTCTCCCTCTGCCCGTGACGCACAGGGCTACAGGGCAGGGCAGGTGAATTATCGGAGTACCTACCCAGCCCCAGACTGCTGGGCCCAGGAATTCAATTACAGCACGTCTCCAGTCAGCAGAGGTGTCGGTTCAAATCCTCGTCTCCCCACCAGACCAGGAACTTGCAGACGGGAGACCGTGTTCTCTTCATTCAATTAATCAATTATGCCTCACCCAGCATCTGCAGCCTCTCCTCCTGTAAACACTTCCCAGTCTCTCTCTCTCTCTCTTTTCTCTTTCTCTCTTCAGGTTCAGAGCTATGCTTTATGGTCTCTGACACCCCCTACTCACCCCACAGCCCTCTGAAGCCTGGCTCCTTTGCTCCTGCCCCAACGCCTCCACTTAACCCGCCCAACGCTCCTTCTCCTTGATCGCAGTGGATGTCCCTCCAGCACTGGGACCAATGGTCACTCCCTTCCTCACCTCTGTCCTCCTCGGCGTCCGGGATTCCTCTCTGCCTTTCCAATGATGAGGGGATTGAGAGTGTCTGTGGGTGTCGAGGGAGGAGCCATCTGGGCCGAAGAAGCAGGCAACTCAGAGCCGGGAGGGCAGGTGGTCACCCCGAGGGGCTCCTGTGTCTGGTCCCCGCCTGCCCTTGGAAGCTTCTCCTGTTTCCTCCGTGAGCCCCTGTCCTCTCCGTGCCGCACGCTGCTGCGTCATGGGCCTCCTTCCCCCGACCATGGTCCGCCGCTTGGCATCCCCACTCCCTGCTGGGTGTGCGCTCCTGTGATGGTTCGGTGCTCCCCACATGCGTGGCCCAGTGGGGTCCTCCCATTCCCTGCTCAGAGCCTGTGTACATCCTAGAGCAGCCGTGGGCAAACTACAGCCCGCGGCCGGATCTGGCCCGTTTGAAAATAAAAAAACTAAAAAAAAAAAAAAAAAAAGACCGTACCCTTTTATGTCATGATGTTTGCTTTGAATTCATATTAGTTCACACAAACACTCCATCCATGCTTTTGTTCCGGCCCTCCGGTCCAGTTTAAGAACCCATTGTGGCCTTCGAGTCAAAAAGTTTGCCCACCCCTGCCCTAGAGAGGGCAGTGCCAGGGCGCTAGGGCTCCAGACCCCGCGCTGCCCTGCAGAGGCTGCCTGAGCTCCGCTGGCCCAACCGAGAAGGAACAGATGCCCTTGGTGGTGCAGCTCTTTTCCTTTTGTCCTCCTGCCCCTGCTCTGTGCACCTGGAGGCCCCCAGCGCCCCAGAGTGGGGAGTCACGGGGGACTAGAGCCGCCTCCGCCAAAGGTTGGCTCAGCCACCGCCTCCCCACCCCGCTCTCAGCTTGCAGTCCAGGTGACAGTGCCCCCCTCGGCCCTGAGGCCCACTGGGGACTGGGCCTGCTGCTCCCCCTCCGGCTTCCTCACACCTGCCCACGGCTCTGTAAATAGTCCTTTACTTTACTAAACTCTCCTCGAATTAACCGTGTTGTGCGCACCATCTGTTCCCCACTGGGCCGCCTGGATGCTGTGGGCTCCGCAGCCCCACGGTTGTGTCTGCTTGTAAATCCAAGCAGATCCCGGAGGTGGGCTGCAGGAGCGGGATCAGGGTGCGGCAGGGCCTGGGGCCGGTGGGCCCCGGGGGCAGCAGCTAAGGAGCCCTGGATGGTGGCCGACCCTGTGTGTCCCTTTGTGGGTACCTACCAAGTCCCAGATAGCACTTCCGGCCAGGTGGTATGTCATCAGCACCCCATTTCAGAGGCACGAGCTCCCCCCCCACCCCCACCCCCCGGCCCTGAGCACTTTCTAAGGACTCTTACGGAGTCTCACCTCCCTACAAGAAATAAACAGCCTCCTGGAGCCTGAACCAGTTCCCAAGCTCACCTGCCGCCTGCCCTCCACGCCCTCCCGCCTCCCGCCACTGACCTGTGCAGAGAAACCCGGAGAAAACACGCCTGCAAGAGCCTTCCTCCATCTCCTCTAGTTTGGGGGTGCGAGGAGGCAGCCAGGGTGAGACTGTGCAGCACGGACCCCCTCGACGCCTGGATCAATTGGGGCCCTGTTTCCGGTCACAGACATGAAGGCTGCCGCCTGCCCCTCATGGAGGGGAGGCAGAATTAAGTAAAATGCAGCCAGAAATAATTGGCCCACCGGAGAGAGGCAGGCGAAGGCACTGAAAAGGAGCTCGCCTGCAGGCTGGAGGCAAAGCTTCGCAGGGCAGTGGGGCTCCCCAGGCTTTGAAAGACCATTTCTGATCCCCGAGGTGCTCCCATTCCCGCCAAATGCTTCCTCATCGATTCCTTGATGAGACGGTGCAATTCAACTCCGCAAATACTTACTTAATGAGAACCTACTGTGCGCCCAATTCTGCACGTGTAGCCCTGGGGGAGCTGAGCTGGGTTTTGAAAAGTCAGAGCTAGCTTCCTTCCTTCCTTCCTTCCTTCCTTCCTTCCTTCCTTCCTTCCTTCCTTCCTTCCTTTCTTCTTTTCAGAGGGGTTACACATCCCACAGTTTGGAGCATGGCTTTGGAATCATATAGCTGCAGGTGCTAGAACAAATCTGGAGAAGAAATAGAAGATGGTGTCTAAGGGCATGGACTTTGAGGTCAAGCTGCCTGGGCTGGAACCTGATTTCGTTGCTTCTAGTTGTGTAACTATCATTTAATTATCCATCCTGCAAATGGGAGAAAATAATCTCATTGATAAGATTTTTTGTGGTGGTTAAATTAAATAAAACATTTAAAATATTAACACAGGGCCTGGCACTCAGAGCCCAATAATTTTTAGCTGCTAGTAATGATGTATAAGCAGCAGCAGCAGCAGTAGTAGTAGCAAGGGTAATGGCAGGAATAATAGTGCTAAGGGTAGTACTGTAGCAATAATGCTAAGGGTTGTACTGTAGTAATAGTGGTCGAAGTGATAATGCAGTCCGGCCAGTGGTAATGGTAGCAATGGCAGTAATAGTAGAGATCATTATAGTCATGTAGTAATAATAGTGCTAATGGTAGGGGTAGTAATCATAACGCTAAATGATAGTATGTATAATAACTTGTGAGAGTTTCTACACCTCATCTTAACTGAAAACTGGGCAGATGCTATCTCTCTCACAGTTGAGATGATGTTAACAAGTAATTCAATTTCAGAGACATTTCCTGAGCACTCTGAACATATGTGAAATTGTCTTAGCCCATAGTCTGTCACATGGAATTTCACCAAATGTTAGATACATTTAAATGTGAGAGCCTCTCCTGGGTTCAATACCTGGTGCTTCCGTCCATGATTCTTTTTTTTTTTTAAATATATTTCTTTATTGACTTCAGAGAGGAAGGGAGAAGGAGAGAGAGATAGAAACATCAATGATGAGAGAGAATCATTGATTGGCTGCCTCCCCCTGCCCCCATCGCTAGCTGGAGCACAATTGCAGACAGCTAGGTAGGGCCTCTGGAGGCACAGAGCGTCACCATAGGAACGGGCTCACGGAGAGCAGCGCAGAGGAGCCAGGCACTGGGGGGAGTGGGAGCAGGTGACGGTAGGGGGTGCTGACTGTGGTCTCAGTGCAGCTGCTCCCCACATTCCACATTCCTAGTGCGAGAACCGAGAGGCCCTCGCGGGAGAGGCCAAAGCCAAGGCCAAAGCCAAGGTGGGTGAGCCCCTGTCACCTCAGGGGCCCTCCTCAAAGCAAGCCCAGTTTGTGGGTCGGCAACCCCAGAACCCAGAGATCCGGGGTGGGGAGCGGGCTGTGGCTGGAGTGGGCCATGCGAGGCCACCAGTTGCTAGGACACAGGATCTTCCCGAGGGGCTCATAGTAACCCTCAGAGAACACTTTGTGCCTCATTCGTTTATTCATCAATTCACTTAATCCACAAACACATCGTGGGCAGCGCTGTAGGTCGCCTGTGAGGGGCACTTCTGGGCCTGCAGAGGTGAGACACATGTGCAAAATCCATTAACACCAGGCGGGAGGATGTGCTCGACGTGAGCAGTGACAGGAGGAGGCCGGGCTCACAGGCTTCGGGCCTGGGCCTGGGCCCATGGGCGGGGGAGCTGGAAGGACATGGCAGGCAGCGGAGGGAGAAGGCTTTTGAGGAGGAGGGAGAGAGGAGCAAACAGTGGGACTCTGACCCGCACCTCGCCCCCCCCCGCCCCCCACCCCCCGGCTTGGGCAGGGCAGTGCCTTCCTTTGCAAGGGATTCCTACTGTCCAGGAGGAAGAACAACGAACATTTTTTTTTTAATGTAATTGAATGAAGATGCTAATGGTTTCTTGCAAATAAGAGAAAAACGTCTAGTACAGGGACATCTTCAATTCCTTGAGAGCCGTGTGTTCTCACACCCTTAACCTTGACCCCTGCGGCAGGCCCAGCCACAGCACACCGCTTCCTTCTCATGGACCTGGACTCCTGGAGATGGAGACGGGTAACAATTCTGCCACAATCACCCCGGAAACGCCTACCCTGGGGCCCAGGTGGAGGTCTTCCTTTCAGGGACCTGGGACTTCCTCTGCTTAAAGGAGGTCTCCCATCATGGCGCACCCTGCAGGACTCCCACACAGCCAGCCCCAGGACCCCCTCCAAGAAATGCTTCATCTCCCTCCCACGCGTTCCCAGCTTACCTCCCTCTCAGCACCACACCCCTGCATCTCCGAGGTCTGTAAGCACTAGGTCTCCCAGCCTTGAACTCTAGGAGGTGAGGGCACAAGTGATCTCTCATTGCAAACCCTGCCCCCCACCCCCACCGCCACCCCAGCAGAGCCCCAGGCACACAGTAGGAGCTCAGCCAATGCCAAGCAGATCAAAGAATGCATTTAAAGAGGTGTGGCTCCATTTTATGGAAAATTAACTTCTGGGAATTTCTGATGAATGAAGAATTACTGTACGTTTTGCCAAAGCCTGCATTGACAGGCTAAGTGATGAAAAGACTCCTTTTTCCCCGGGTCCTGATTTCCTCCCTCTTGAGTGGGGGGGGGAGTGAACCCACAAC